CAAAAGGGGTTTTAAGAAAACGAGGCCTGGAGGACAGCAGAACCCCTGCACTGCTGCCTCCCAGACTGCTGAAGGCACAGACTTTTAATCTCAGGTGTGTTTCATCAGAAGGATTCAGCTCAGCTGTGTTCCTCAACAGCCTGGAGGAGAGGAGGAGGATGGGTGGTGTCTGGCTGATCAATGGGGCTGGGTGATCCTGGCTCCTGGATCACTAGAGGCCAGGCTGGTGGCCATAAGAGAAGTGACACAAATGTTCACCATTTTGTGAATTACAAAGGTAAGTATATATGTAATCTACAAGCACACCTTTAGATTGAGTCCTTTCTTGTCCTGTTAATGGGCTGAAGAGGCCAATATGCAGAAAGAAAGAACCTTAAGGAGAAATACATATTGATTTTGTTCCTGAAGCATTACAAAACTCTGGTTCAAACTATTATTTTCTGTGTTCTGTCTAGAGACGATGAAATAACACTTGTCGGCTGCATGATAATTGCAAAAATGATTCAAACCTTTAAAATGTCCTAAATTACATTAAGAGAACATTACCAGCCATTACCAAGATTAAAACAATCCCATCACAAAAACACAAGATGAAAATTTTAAAAAAAAAGTTTTAGTGTTTGGCTGTTAAAGGAATCTACTGAGTCCCGTGACCTCACGCCCATGGCACACTGGAAGCAAAAGCGGCATGGAACGCCAGTGGAACGGTTTACTCGGGACAATCACTTATTCAAGTGCCCACTGGGAGAGTTTCAGCAGCATAGCGGCTTCTCTGCCATGCTCTTCGCTCAACTCGCGAGATCACAAAATCCCTCGAGACTTCCGTCAACCTCCTCACGACATCACACGTAACCTCAAAGTTATGGTTTGTTTATGCAATCTGCCATTAAACCAAAGCGTTTGATATCGCTGTTTGATTGCATTTATGATGTTGTTCCTCTCCACCGCCAGGATTAAATCCATGAAAAACACTGCTGCACTTCTGGAACGATGCTGTGAGTAAATAAGCCGGTAAGTCACATGTAAGCTTCACATGTATGAAATTGCATTGCTGCAATACTTTTATTTTGAAAATTACTGGGGCTTTTACACTGAAACCGTGTGTGGTTTCCTGTCTAGCCCTATGTTAACTGCGATAATTGACACGTCCCAGAAGCAGCTCACAGAAAAATAGACAAAAATGGAACGCGATCCTATCCTTAGCAGCGCAGCGCGGCGTGCCGCTTCTACAATGCGTCTGAAAATCACGGCTGGTTTGCTACACTAATAGCCTATAATGGATTCTATTTGAAGCAGTGCTGTTTGCTTCCAGTGTGCAGTAGGGGTCAGTGTCAGAAGAAAAGCGTTCCAGAGTTTAAAAGCAACAAACGTAAATGCTCTTTCACCTTTAGTTTTGCCTTTTGTTTGGGAGACCACCTTGGACTGTATATATGATCACCCGTAGGTTTCTTAAGAGCTGAATTGAAGCCCAGCAGGTGGTTCCCACCACCACCATCTTGGCCATGTGACACGTCTCGTCACTCCCGAGAAATACAAAAATGGTCAAAGAGGTGGAGGTGAGAGCGGGGCTGTGATTGGGGGGGGTGGGGGGGGGGGAATGATTGAAATGAGCTAACTGAGCTAACCAAAGCTAACAGAGGTTGGCGGGTGCAGGAATCTGCGGTTAAGCGACTCAGCTACCCTTTCCTTCTAGGCTGTGGCACTTTAAAGAAGAGGCTGAAGCCTTCCCTGTTACCTAGAAATGCTTCCAAAAAACGTACTAAATTCAAGGCTGATCACGATAGTGACCACATTTACAGTTTCAATTTAACACTGTTTGGTTTATGATTTAACTTTGATGTAATTTTAAAACCGGACCACATTTTCACTGGCTATGAGAATGACACAGTGAGAAATATCAAGTTCAAATGTTGCTCTGTACCTTTTGTTTCTCTTTTTCTGTGAACCTTTCACATCTAAAGACAACCTCCTGTTTTTATCCTCACTGAAAGTTTACAGATGTACTGAAAGAAGAAGATAGGTGATGGAGGGCAAAGTCATCGCAGATACCATCCACCCACACACAAATCCTGCCTAACACCTCCCCTTAATTAAAAATGGAGAGGTAGACTGTGGTCAGCAAAGGAAACAAAAAAAATACTGATCACTAGTGGTGGATGTTCTCCTGTTTCCATGAGATTGATGGTTATGTAAACCAGCCTTCTTTGTTCAAACATCAACCTCATAGAGTTGTTGAGCCACCACCTGTAGACAGTGAAGAGGAGGCATGATGTAATCGCAGCACATGAAACCAAACCCACTGATCTGTTTTTAGCCAACTGAGATCTGAGCCAAGGTTCACTATTTAGTAAAAATATCAGTTCTAAAAATACTGACTGGATATGTGATCGATAGGAAACTCTATATCTAACTAATACAGTGAAAATTAGCAGAAAACAGACGACATAATCTTGACTGCAAGGATGTGTTACAATGAAGGACCTCAGTGGAAATAAAATATTATAGTTTACAATCAATATTAATATGGAGATTTAATTGTAAAAGTTCAGATTTAACATTAGATTTGATGTTAAATATGGCCAAGTCTATGTAACAAATGTTTACGTAACAACCAAAAGCTAACAAGGTAGAATCAAATTCAGCTGGATGAAGGTAAATCTAACAAATCTAGCCTGTTTTACCAGTGATAGTTTACCGATGTGCAGAAAGAACACAGGATCACTGATAAACACAGCTGTTTGGAATTTGACACAATTTGAGTAGATTTTATTTATTTATTTTTTTTTTTTTTTACTTTCTAGTTCTTTTGTTGTTTTCCCTGTCTTGGTTGTGTGTGTTTTTTAAACTCTATAGTACTTTGTGTTAAAAAAAATAAATAAAAGTTTTACAAATACACTGAATAAAACAGAATTGGATTTAAATCCAATTGATTGGATTTAGATGGTTTAGATTAGATTGGACTGAACAGAAGTGGTTTAGATTGGATTCAATTATTGGACTCATCCATCCATCCATTTTCTGAACCCGCTTGTCCACAGAGGGGCTGGTGCCTATCTCCAGCAGTCAACGGGCATGCAGGCGGGGTACACCCTTGACAGAGTGCCAGTCCATCACAGGGCAACACAGGACAAACAATCATGCACACACACACACACACACCTAAGGACAATTTAGCCAACCAACCTAACAGTCATGTTTTTCGACTGTGGGAGGAAGCCGGAGTACCCGAAGAGAACCCACGCATGCACAGGGAGAACATACAAACTCCATGCAGAAAGATCCTGGGCCCGGAAGCGAACCCAGGACCTTCTTGCTGCAAGGCATCAGCTCTAACCACTGCACCACTGTGCAGCCCTTGTTGGATTCAGTTAAGGTAAATTTGGCTTTGTTTTCAATCACCTGAATTTTAATTAATACTGTTGTGGTGATTACTGATCTATCTTGGTTTGGGTTTTTAATTAAGGACAACTAGAGTCAGAAGAAGACTCTAATAAGATGTACATTTTAGGACATCAGACCATAGAGAAAATAACATTGCAAAACCCATCAGACAAAACGGTCTCAGGAAAAAGTTCGTCAGACTAAAACTCTCTGAAATACAGCTGAGCCATATTAAATTCAGTTGTTTTCATGACCTACATACATCTCAATGTCTTCAGGGTCAATATTTGTGCAAGAACAACATTTTAGAGTCATGTTTCATGGTTCTGCCATGCTTGTGTTTTGCTACCTGTAAGACCGTTATGAGCACATAACCCAACAGATGGAGCAAATGTTAAAATAACTTTTTACACTGAAGCCCTTCATGGCTACGTCACCAACCTATAGAGTAAATATGAATTTAAATTTTACATTAGCTTACTGTAATACATTTTTAAAACATAAATTCATAGAAATGAGGCCAACGAGATGCAGCAGCGTTGAAACGTTTAGTCAACGTGACCCCCCGGTGAGGCCACAGCAGGTGCTGCACCTCTGACAGCTGCAGATAACACCGCAGCAGCAGCAGGTTCTGTTTGATGAAAGGCACCAACATGGACTCTAACTGCTATAGTGACATTATGCGATAGATGGCTGCACTTCTTTCTATTTTATACAAATATTGCTGTTACTCACAGATGAATGTGAAAGAATCTGCTGTACAATAACTAAAACTTGTCTGCAGACATTTTTTAACAATAAACAAATAAATGCCAGAGCTCCATTTTGTAATATTATATTTATAATAAAGTTCAGTGTGAATTTTTTCACATTTATTTATGAAAAATATATAATTTCTAAAAGTTTAAACTGAAGTTCAATTAGCAATATTGAATTATATATATTTAGCATCAAATCAAAAAAAAATTTAATTCACAGGGTGAAAAATAAATATAATGGAACAACAGACATGACATGTCAGGTAAGGATTTTGTTTAAAACTGCCACATATGGATTTGATCTTTTTGACTGAACTTTTAATGTCATTATATTAAATTCTTATTCAAAAGTAACTTGCAAACTATTTAGTCACATATATTTAGATTAGTTTCAGAATATTTGGGTTTTGCTTTATTATTTGGATTTGATTCTTAATATTTTAATAATTAAATGTATATATTTAGAATTGGTTTTAAATAGGTTCACTTTCAGATTTTTTTATTATTATGGGAAGCCAAAGTTTGTCAAATGCATGTTTTTATATTCTACAGTCGGCCCCTACTTTACATTTCCTAAAGTAAACCTTAAAGTCGTGACTGCTGGGATGTTTGGTGACGCTGTGACTGATGCTGACCTTGTGATGTGTTTTGCTCATCTTTCCATTCCCTTCTCTGACTCTTTCCACAAATAAAACTTATTTGCATAAGCAAAGAATGTGATGTTGATTATTTAAAAGATGCATTTTGAAGATATTTATGCGTTTCAGATTAACTTTAGGAACTGGGAGCGTTTTTGTGAATGAGGATGGGGGAGGAGAGCAGGAGGCTGCTGTGAGGGCGCAGCGGTGCGCCCGGCCTTACCCGAGCCGCCCGGGAGGAGTAGGGGTCCTCAAACAGATTCCAGATCACCGGCTGCCACTTCCTCCACTGGCTGACGTTTCCGTCGGCGGCCACGTCTTCGATGCCGAGTCTCTTCCCTACGTCGTCGTCCTCGTCCCCGTTGTCCACGTTGAGCTCGAACACGTCCAGAGCCTCCTCCGCGTCCCGGTGCTGCCGGTAGGTCATCCAACAGCAGGGCTCCACGTCCGTCTCATCGATGCCCCAAAAAGAGAGCTCCTCTTCGAACAACGGTCCGCACACGTCCGCCGGGCAGTGGAGCTTCCCGGTTCGGTAATAGTTCAACACGTAGGCGAAGACGCCCGGGTGGCGGTCGAAGAAGTACTCGTTGGTCCGCGCGTTGAACTCGATGAAGCCGGGGACTTGTTGAAGCTGATCCAGCACGGAGTCGATGTCCGAGTCCGAGGCGAGCAGGGCCAGGCGCGTGCCCGGAAGGGTCTTCAGGGTGGTTTTGTAGGTCTCGTGCCTGGTTCCCCCGACGTTGAGGATTATCCTCTCGTTGTCGTCAAACTTGCCCATCGCTGTGTTTCAGACATGACTCGATGGAAAGCGAGGGGGAGAGTTGGCAGGTGCAGTCCGGAGGCAACGGCGAGCCCGACGCGCACACACCCAGTCCTGTTCTAAAACCTCCGACGGTGCGCAGCGTCCGCGCTGCTGCTCACCCGACGCTGTCGCGCCTGTTTGGGGGAGCGGAGAAGACGCCCATCGTTTTGTTCACTAAATGTTTGGGAGGGATGGAGAGGCTGAAGGTCAGTGTGTGTCCCTATTGCGCGCTGGCGTGGCGGGCTGAATGATCTCCAAACAGACAGCGCGCTGCTTTCTGCCGCTGCGCGTCTCCGGCGTCCCTGCCCTATCCAAGACGCACAGCCGCTTGTCAGCGTCGGACGCGTTGTTTCAAAATGTAGAACGCAGCACCTCTCTAAAGGCGATGACGGCATCATCACCGAGCATCACAACAGAGACCGCTCCTTCCTCCCAGCTCCGCTCCGGTGTCCCCGTCGCGAAAACCAACCGTCAGATTTGGTTTAATGCTCCCCGCCCCTCGACTCCATGACCGTCTCACGCATTCACACCTCAGCAAAGTGACTTTCCTCAATCAGATGAACTCAAATGTTCGCTGAAACTGCTAACATTCAACAGGTTTGAGTGCTGCTTTCTGCCTGGTTTAAGCTGGTTCTGGTTCTCAGACCGGTGGGGCTGAATTCTGAAGCTCAACTCGTTATTGTTAACATCTGCTGAGGACTTTCAACCCACTGCTCAATTCTGTGCTGCTGCTCACACAATTAGCTCAATTTGAGATGTGCATGAACACCCGAAACATCCACCAAACCCTGCATGATATCAACTCTTTCACAATTGTTCATGAGAAAAGGTAAAGGTGGTAGACAAAGTCAACATTCAGAATCAGGGACGAAATTTTGATTTCAGAAGTGGGGGGGACGCAGCAGGCTTGTGCGGATTTGGGGTGGGGGGTGTTATGTAAAGACCCCTTGACACGTCATGTGCCCATCTCAATAATTTTTCCATCCTATATATATCAAAGTTAAAAAATGTACAACTCTATTATTATTTTTATTTATTATCATTATTGAAGTGCAGTTTTGGCTGTTGACAATGGACAGGCCATTGTATTTATTGTTTTGGGTCTTTTTTTATTGTTTTTGGTGCAACATTTTCTAACAGGGAGTGAGATTCCTTTTTTATTTAATTTTTGTTTGTTATTTTTATTCATTTAGAAGTTCTGGTTCTGGACATTTCAATGTTAAATGAAGGTTTCTTTGTTGCATTTTAAAGGGTGTACTTGCATTATTATGATATATTAACATTATATTAGTGGTTATTTTGGTCTAGATAATGTTGACAATGATATCGTTTATCATCAACAATTTGTTGGACAAAATATCGTCCAGCAAAATTTGTTACTTTCCCAGGCCTAGTCAAAAGTATAAAAATTATTTATACATAAACGGTCCCTCCTGAGATCTGGCCGTTTGTTCATTTGCTGTGTTAGAGGACATGCTGAACTAATGTTTTACACATGATCATCACCCTAACATTTGAGTGTATAAAAACATATTAAATATGTTTTTTCCCTTAAAAGTGTTTAAACAGTTGTTGCATTTCAACACACAAAAAATAAATGGAAAAAATAAGATAAATCTAATGAAAAGTGTACATCTTTGACATTAAGCTTAAAAAATCTGTTGACGATGATGATACTGTTCATTTTTCAGAGCTTTTTAATGTGAACATATACATTGCAATAGATAAGTTTACAATAAAGTTAAATGATAAAAGTTTTGAAGTTACACTTCTACTACTACTACTACTAGTAATAATAATTATGATGATAATAGTAATAATAAAAAAATAATAATTATAATAATACGAATAAATTGTGTCTGAGGAGTCAGTTATGTGGAGGAGATGAGTTTGTAAAAGTTAGTTTTGAGTATGTTTGTGAAGGAGGAGGTGAGTCTGAGCTTAATGCAGGGGTGTCATATGTTCCAACTTACGTTTTGACTTTGAAAGAAGTCTCTTATATCCACTTTTCGTTTTCTTGACATGCTGCCGCCTGGCTGTGCCTAACTACCAAAGACTCACAAATGAACACTTATTCAAATGTTATGTAATGGAAGCTGAGCTGAGCTCTGATATTACACAGCGTCTAGTTGACGATGTGACTCAGTACCGGTGTTCCCTAGCGGCTCCAAACTAGCAAAACAACGTGAGCACGTTCTGACTGTTTACAACTTGAGTGACAGCAGCAACAGCCAATAATACGTTAGCAAGTATCAGCAGAGCCAATAGATTAGCTTTTGGGCGGGTCTAATAGTAAACCGGTTTCCGTTTCGGTCCTAGTGCTCAACCAAATCCATTTAATGGAGCGTAACATTGTTTTTGGACGGAAAAAAGTGCAGGGGACCAAAACTGCCTTTTGAAAAAGTGGGGGGGACATGTCCCACCCGTCCCCCCCCCCAAAATTACGTCCCAGACTAGAATCACTGTCAGTTTCTTGCAGCACTACTTGTACATTAGATAAATCACGGTTAACGCTAAACCCCTAGCAGGTAGCCTGGCAAGCCAGACTAAATAAATGTATTATTTACTTTACCAAACTTTGCACAGCAAGAATTTGGTCTAGTTCATAGGCTCCCTACAGGTTTAACTGAGAGGAAAGGGAAGCAACTGTTAACCAGAAGGCCCGTCATCTGACAGCCTCTGTGAAAACAGGAAGGAGTGACATCTTAAGGGAAGCTTACTCAACAAAAGGACCCAGCAGGTGACTTTCCCATGATTACATGCACCATTATCCCCTGACGTAAGGCTGGTTTGAAGAACTGCAACCTCTGAGTGACCCAAACCCCCACAATGCAGCTCAAAAATTGAGGCCAACCCTGAAGTACCAAAAATTGCAGTTCCACCCTCATCCGCTGGGGGCTGGTGTCAGAAGCGAGCAAATCCTCATTGACTCCCATGTTAAAAATACCAATTTCACAGCAGAAATAAACATGTTTACAGCCTGGTACCAAAACATGTTTTTGGTTTAAATTATCTAGTTTATACTCATGACGACTCTGAGGGGGATGAATTTTTTTCTCACTCTTCTGTTTAAGTGTATTTGAAGCCTAAAATTCTGAATAATTAATGAGCATCAGACCCACGTGACCGCAGAGCTAGCTCTGTGGAAAGGCCTCAGTAGAGCCTCGGTCTGGCTTGGACACTGCTCCGGGATTTTGAGTGTCTGTGTTTGTGTATTCTTTTTTGGATATTATTTGTGAAATTGTTGGACAAAATGACTTGCTGTGGCGTTAATTGCACTAATAAAGCGTCCAAGGAGTCTCCACTTCATTTTTTTCGGTAAGTAAAATTAAATTTATGTATTTTAGGGCACTGCCGAGCTGAGCTTAGATTTTAACATGTACTGTTTAACCATTAAATTTAAATGTAATAGGGCAAAACTCAGTGCATTTAACATAATGCTGCACTTTAGAAAATGGGTTGAAATATAACATGTTGGTGGAGCTGGGTTCCGACTATCGGCTTGTGGAGCTCTCGGGAGACCGATGTTTTCCACCCGTTCTCCCCTCCCCGCAGTTTGGCGCAGCTCTGTCTGATCGCGGCTTCTGTCTGCTGCGCGGGCTGCTGGCTTGTTGAGCTCTGGGATGGAAACCTTTCCACCCAGTTCTCCCCAGCGGCAGCTCTGCGCATCTCAGAACGCAGCGGCACTTGTCTGCTGTGCGGCTGCCGGCTCGTGGAGGTCTCGGAGACCTCTATTTCCACCCGGTTTTACCCAGCGGTCAGCCCGGTGTATCTCTGACTCAGAAGCTCTGGTGTTGTGCACAGTTAACTCTGGTTGTAGCTAGGTTGCTACCTCCGTTAGCTTAGCTCCCACCTCCGCATTAGCTTTGGGTTAGCTTCAGGTCAGCTTGTAGCTAGTTCGACCGGGTGTCGCCAGTTGATCCCAGCCTTACAGCCCCACCCTCAGCTCCACCTCTCTTCCCTTTTGTGGAATTGTCTGGGCTTGACGGAACCTGTGACACGGTCAAAATGGCGGTGGTGGCCACCTCCCATTTGGCCTCAAAAACGTGTTATTGGAGCCTATGGAAATGAATTGTCCAGTATTTATATGTCGATTGAGTGACCCAGTTTCTACTAGCTTGTGTTCGCTAAACAAGCAGAAGATGTCCCTGCCTTATGAACCCCCCCCCCCCCCGCTCCTTTTACATTACGGTCTAACTTCTGAGCATGTGAATGTAAATCAGCTGGGTGTCCATTAATGGAAGGAAATGAATCACAGTCTCAAAAGAAGTGGTAATGAATGTATCCATCTGAGAACATCAGACTCACTGGAGTGCTCCATTTATGGAGACAGACGTGCTTCCGCTGGGGTTTTAACTGGATTTGAAATGAATGCGTCCACGTGATTAGTGAGAACTACTGTAGACATGCCTTTTGCTCACATGACACTAACATCCAAGGAGCGACGGATCATCCAGAGAACAACTTAAAGTTTAGGGAAAAGCACAAATATTACTTGTGAGAAACGTTTCTGCATCAGCTTGTGTTGTGGTAGTTTGAGCAAACTCCAGAATGTTAATTAGAGTTTGATTCAGTTGTTCTTTTCCTTTCATCGTCGTCTCTGTCCTAAAAGTTACAAACAGCATCCGGAGCTCCGTCTGCCTTGAGGTAATATCAGGACTAAAAATAGAACAGCCAGATTGCCGATCTCTATCAGGAACTGGAGAAAAAAAAATGGAGTAAGGATGAAAAAAATACTAAGAACCCTGTAGAATAGTCCTTGCCCTGTTCATTTTGCCTGACAGATTCAGTCCCAGAGGGAGATGCCAGAAGCCTTGGCGGCTTTCCCGTGGGACATTATACAAAAAATACTTAAGAACATGTTTATGTGCATCAAGGACAGGGACATTTCACTGGTATTTTACCAAAAACTAGGAAAATCCATCTTCAAATGTCAAAATCAAAATATTAAAATATTAAGAGTTTTTTAGGCTTTT